TCTGCTCGTTCGTGGAGTGAAGCCGCAAGCTGTCAATCGGAGAGCGCTGCCTTTCTTTCTTGAAATTCGGACTTGAAAAGCAACGATCCGTGAGTAGGATTTACTCAAATTGGAACTGTACAAATTAAATCTGAAATCAGGCTGAAAACGGAGGAGGTTTAAAAAGGAAGTCAACCTCCTTCTATTGTAGATAGACTTAAAGCATTGAACTTGAAAACGGAAGCTTTTGGAAAGGACGTTTTTAGAGGATTTTAATCCAATCACTGAACCTGGACTTTTCCCTCTATAAACTGAGGGAAAATAGGGGGAGATCTTTGGAGGTGATTTCTTTTTAAAGAGTGGAAAAGAAGAGATTAAACCATCACTCTACTTCCTGGGAAAGGATTCTCCAGATCCTAGGGGGGAAAAAAAAAAAGGTACTGTCTTGTAATATATTTTGACAGCTAGTCCTGCATTGGTTAAAAAATCTGGATAAGATCTTGTGAATATATATCTCCTGGTCTTAAGTTGAAAAACTGTGATAGATTGATTCCCTGTTAAACAAACTAGGGGGGACTTAAAAAGGAAATTAAAGTAACCAAGAACTTTTAGGACTGTTACAGTGTCCCCCTAGTGGAACTTGGAACTGTTGCAACTTATTACAACTGTAACTGTAGCAGGCTGGAGGAGTTCTCACACTATTTGGAAGGAAATTTCCACTGTGCACTGTACAATTCCAACTACGTGTCTGACCTTGAGAATTATCTAAGGAATGGCAGATAAAGAGAAGACGGAGGCTTCGACTACAAGATCGGGGAGGAATATTCGCATAGAAGAAGGATTACAAAGGAGAGCTTCGGTCTCAGGCCTTTCTGGAACCTCAACAACAGCCTCATCGGCACAATCAAAGGCAAAAACCTCGACAAGTGAAGAAGCCTTTGCTCAAGTTTTGGCCAAAGTTAATGAATCTTTGAGTAAAATAAGTCAACAAGTAGCAGAGGCTTGTGAGAAGATTGATCAAAATACAGCAAGTATAAATAATTTGGGCCAAAAAGTAAATACCAACACTGAGACTATTCAGAAATTATTAGAGGAATCGGCTGCAACTCGCCAGATTGCTGAAGAGGCCAAAGAAATTGCTACAACTTCTGCTACGGATGTCAAGGAGGTTCAAGAGGAACTACCAACATTGCATAAACAATTGGAAGACCATAAACTAACTCTGTCTATGATAGATTTGAGGGAGAAGCAAGTGAATCTTCGGGTCAGGTCAGTACCAGAGGTGGAAAAGGACAATTTAGCTGAATTTCTCACGCAGGAATTTTTGGACTTTTGGGATCCAGAACTGGCAAAAGACAGTTTCAAAATAGTAAACGCATTTAGACTTGGGAGAAAAGGAGAAAAGAAAGTGAGAGACTGTCTGATTTCTTTTAGAACAAAAGAAGAGAGGGATAAGATTTTGGGCCTACACTTCAGGAAAACATTGGAAATTCATCAGAAAAGGGTGGAAATATTCAAAGACATTCCGAAATATATTCTGGAGCTCAGATCAAAATATAAAGATCTGGTTAGCCTGCTGAGAAGGAATAACATCAACTTTAGGTGGGAACTCCCCCAAGGCCTGTCTTTTACTTACAAGGGAAAGAAGAGGAAAATAAGATCGGAAGACGACAAAGATAAATTCTACAGAGACCACGGAGAAGACTTACAAAAAGAACTATCTCCGGAACCAAAAGATCGCTCGAAAGAAGGGATACCACCGACGGACGAGGAACAGGCACTAGGTGCAGTAGGAGGAGTATCAAAACAATAACATCATGGCCCTGCAACTTATAACTTGGAACTGTCGGGGTTTGAATTCCCCTCAGAAGAGGAAGTCAGTATTTCATATATTAAAAGGAACAATTAGATTTAATTTGTTTACAAGAAACACATATAACGAGACTACACAGGAAATTGTTAATAAACAAAAGACTTGGTCAGGAATTTATTTCGTCGGATAAAGTTAAAAAGAGAGGAGTTGTGATCTACGCAAAAGATAATTTATCACCAAAATTTGTTTTTAAGGATGACCAAGGAAGATTTGTGGCAATTGAAATTCAAACACAGGGAGAAAAATTTTTGATCGTAGGAGTTTATGCACCAAATGATGGGAAATCGGATTTTTTTAAGAAGTTGCATGAGACCTTGATGGACCATATGGATTACAACATAATTTTGATGGGAGATATGAATGGAGTGGTATCTACCTACATGGACAAGGCACAAAAACAGGTAGTCACCAAAGATGGTAGACTACCGAGAACCTAGAGACATGACAGACAACTTGGATTTAGTGGACATTTGGAGAATTAGAAACCCCTTGGTAAAAGAAGGAACTTTCTTTTCTGAAGCCAAAATGACTTGGACAAGAATTGACCAAATTTGGATAACTAGAGGAATGGCACCAAAAACAAAAAAGGTGGAAATCTGCCCAAAAATTTGCTCCGACCATAATGCTGTTAAGATGGAAATGAGACTAATGCCAACTGGCTCCTTCAGATGGAAGATGAATGACACCTTATTCAGAGATGAAGAATTTCTTAAGAAGGCCCAAAAAACCTTAAAAGATTACTTTGAGATAAATCTTAGTTCCAACGTCGAGAAAAGAGTAATCTGGGATGCAAGTAAAGCTGTGATGAGAGGGTTCTTAATACAACAGAATGCGATAAAGAAAAGAACTCAAAATGAGAAGAAGGATAAAATTATGAATAAAATGAACGAATGTGAAAAAAGATTGCGAGTAAATCCCAAATCTCAAGAGACTCTGAGAGAGTTAAAGTTATATCAAGTACAATATATAAAAATAATGAATCAGGAAGTAGAATGGAAAATTAAACAAATGAGACAAAAGACTTTTGAATCGGCTAATAAATGTGGTAAACTGTTGGCATGGCAAATGAAAAAGAGACAAAAATTAAATACGATTACGAATTTAGATGTGGATGGAAGGAATATACAGAACCCTGCAGAAATTAGAAGTTGTTTCCAGAAGTATTTTAAAAGACTATACACTCAAGGGCCCGAGAAAGAAACAGACTTAGATCAATTTTTGAAAACAAATGGATTACAAAAATATCTCAAGAAAAGAGACTAATTTTGAATGATAGAATAACGGAACAGGAAATAGAAGGTGCCATTCAAAATATGCAACTGGGTAAATCTCCAGGCCCAGATGGCTTGACCTCTAGATACTACAGATCCTTAAAAGACTGGTTAATTCAACCATTGAAAGAGGTCTGCAACGAAATAATGGAGGGGAGGAGGGCACCAGAGTCGTGGAAAGAAGCATATATTACACTTGTACCAAAAACAGAGGCTGAAAAGACACAACTAAAGAACTACCGCCCAATATCATTACTTAATGTGGATTACAAAATTTTTGCAGATATTTTGGCGAAGAGATTTAAAAAAGTGCTGTTGGAAGAGATTCATAAGAACCAAGCGGGCTTTCTCCCAAGAAGACACTTGTCTGATAATTTGAGGAATATAATTGATATTTTGGAAAAATTAGAAGTGAATATAAACACTAAAGCAGTGTTGATATTTGTAGACGCGGAGAAAGCCTTTGACAACATTTCTTGGAATTTTATGAAGAAGAATCTACAGGGTATGGGGGTAGGCCAAGGTTTTGAGAATGGTATAAGTGCAATTTATTCAGAACAAAAGGCTAAACTAATTGTAAATAATGTTGTGACGGAAGAACTTAAAATTGAAAAAGGGACACGACAAGGTTGCCCAATTTCCCCTCTTCTCTTTATTTCGGTCCTGGAGGTGTTGCTGAACATGATTAGAAGGGACCAGTTGGTTAAAGGTATACAGGTCGGAACTAAACATTATAAATTAAGAGCATTTGCAGATGACTTAGTACTGACGTTACAGGAGCCAGAATCTAGTACAAAAAGGGTTTTAGAACTGATTCAAGAATTTGGTCAAGTGGCAGGATTTAAATTGAACAAATCAAAAACCAAGGTTTTAGAGAAAAATTTAAGACCTTTTGAAAGAGAGAGGTTTCAGAATGAGACAGGGTTAACAGTGGTTAAGAAAGTTAAATACTTGGGGATTAACATGACAGCAAAAAATGGGAATTTGTTTAAAGATAACTATGAAAAATGTTGGTCAGAAGTGAAAAAAGATTTAGAAATTTGGTCAAACCTGAAGCTTTCACTGCTAGGCCGTATTGCTGCGATAAAAATGAATGTATTGCCTAGAATGTTGTTTTTGTTTCAAACTTTGCAGATCGTGGACAAAATGGATTGTTTCAAGAGGTGGCAGAAAGACATTTCTAAATTTGTCTGGCAGGGCAAGAAACCTAGAATAAAATTTAAAATTTTAACAGATGCAAAAGAAAGAGGTGGATTTGCCCTGCCAGACCTTAAACTTTATTATGAATCAGCAGCTTTTTGCTGGTTGAAAGAATGGCTACTTCTTGAAAACACTGACATTTTGGATTTGGAAGGTTTTAATAATGTATTTGGATGGCATGCATATTTATGGTATGATAAGGTCAAAGCACACAAAGCATTTAAAAACCACATTGTCAGGAAAGCGCTATTTAATGTTTGGATAAGATATAAGGATTTGCTAGAAAATAAAACCCCAAGGTGGCTGTCACCAATGGAAGCGAAAGCCTTGAAAAGGGTCAATATGGAGGTCAAATGGCCGAAATATTGGGAAATTTTGGAACAAGACGGAGATAGACTGAAATTGCAGAGTTTTGAAAAATTAAAAACAAAGTGCGAGACTGGCTTCATTATTATCAAATAATGGAGGCATTTAAATTAGACAGGAAAATTGGCTTCCAGGTGGAAAAATCAAAATTAGAAACAGAATTGTTAGAACCCAATACTAAGAATCTGTCAAGAATGTATAACTTGCTGCTGAAATGGAATACTGAAGATGAAACGGTAAAATCGGCTATGATTAAATGGGCACAGGATGTAGGACATAACATTATGTTTGCTGACTGGGAACAGTTATGGACCACAGGTATGAAATTTACGGCATGTAATGCCTTAAGAGAGAATATTATGAAAATGATATACAGGTGGTACATAACCCCAGTCAAGCTTGCGAAAATTTATCACTTGCCCGATAACAAATGTTGGAAATGTAAAGAAACTGAAGGTACATTTTTTCACCTTTGGTGGACGTGCCCAAAGATTAAGGTTTTCTGGGAAATGATATATAATGAATTAAAAAGGTATTTAAGTATACCTTTCCCAAGAAACCAGAGGCCTTTCTCCTGGGCATAGTGGGCCAAATGGTGTTAAAAAAGGATAGAACTTTCTTTATGTATGCAACAACAGCAGCAAGAATACTCATCGCAAAGTATTGGAAGACACAAGAACTTCCCACGCTGGAGGAATGGCAGATGAAACTTATGGACTATATGGAATTGGCGGAAATGACTGGCAGAATCCGTGACCAGGGAGAAGAGTCGATGGAGGAAGATTGGAAGAAATTCAAAGACTATCTTCAGAAACACTGCAAAATTAAGGAATGTTAGAGTGATGTTGGATTGAAAATAAGTGGTTTCCAGCTGTACAGGTTAAAGCTAGGATAGATTAAGATTAAAGATTAAGATTGGGAAAAATTTAAAGGTATATGACATTAAAAACAAGGATTATGTTTATGTTATATAGTTTAATATTTTATTAAATTAAAGATTGGGTTTAAAAAAGTGGAAAAGAAATTGCTGGACAAATAATGTAGATTGGAATACAAAAGAGGGAGGTATGAGGAAGTCCAGAAAATAAGTAATTTAAAATTGGGAACGTAAAAGAGAGGTTGTTTTAAATTGTTATGTTGTGTGTTTTTATTGTTAAATTTTGTATTGTGTTTTTTTGTGTGTGTGTTGTTTTTTCTATTTTCTTTGTTTAAAATTTTAATAAAAATTATTAAAAAAAAAAAAAAAAAAGAACAGAATACCAAGAACAATTTTATGGGTCTTGACGGTGGCAAAATTAGTGGTGCCCTATTTAGGAATTTCAAGTCCAGCTACCAAACCATCCAGCTCCAGGTAAAGCTTTTCAGTTTTACATAACCCGGGTGTTTGTTGACTGAAGTTCCAAACATCCCCACCCAGCTTAACCCAACAGTCAGGAATGGTGGGAGTTCTAGTCCAAGGTGGAAGAGGACTTGTGCGCACTTCCTGGCCCAAGATTTCCAAGGCTTCCAACATGAGTCCCATTCCTACCTAAGACCTTGGATATTCAAATCATGGGCTCTGGACTTCCAGTTTTACCACTGCCATTTGAAGGAGCGCAATATCAACTCTCCAGAGAGGTCCTGAGCTTTGAGAGGCAAAAAGAGGTTACGCTAGGGCAAAAGCAAGGTTATGTTAGGGGCTGGAGGTTTGTCTGTGTTCAGAGGCGTAGGGGGGAGCCCAGTATTCATTGTGGACAAGAAAACAACGAATCAGCATCGCCTTGCAGTGGATTATCGCCTGTTGAACAAGATAACCGAACCCGTAGCCTTCCCCATGCCCAGAATTGACGATGTTTTGACACGTGTGAGGCAGGGGAAATTTTTACCAAACTGGACCTAAGGGGAGCATACAATCTGATTAGAGTGAGAGAGGGGGATGAATGGAAGACGACCATGTTCACCCCACTGGGGGCGCTTGAGTATCTCGTCATGCCGTTGGATTTCAAGCCTTTATGCACCACTTGTTGGGGCCCCTGCTGTACAAGAATTGCGTGGCCTTTTTGGAGGACGTTTTGATCTTCCCTGAAAATGAAGCACAGCACGTGAAAGACGTCAGGCATGTGCTAGAGAGACTGAAGAAGCATCAGTTGTAGGTCAAGCTGGAGAAATGCCAATTCCATGCTCGAGAGGTGGAGTTCCTGGGGTACCGACTGTCAGACAAGGGGCTGGCCATGGACACGGAGAAGGTGAAAGCAGTGCTGGAATGGAAGAGTCCCAAAACAAAGAAGGATGTGCAGAGGTTCCTAGGTTTCAGCAACTTCTACAGGAAGTTCATCAAGAACTTTGCTCACTTGACAGCACCCATAACGGATTGTCTCAGGGGCAAGAAGAAGTTTGCGTGGACCAAGGAAGCACAGCAGTGCTTTGAAAGGTTAAAGAAGGCTTTAGCCTCTGAGGAGCAGCTCCTGCACGTGGATCCTGGGAAGCCACTGAGAGTGGAGACGGACGCTTCAGACCGGGCCATCGGAGCAGAACTGTTGCAACAAGGGTCAGGGGAGGACTGCAGAGCTTGTGTGTTTTTCTCCAGAGAAACTGAGCAAGTCAGAGCAACATTACACTGTTTATGACAAAGAATTGCTGGCCATTTATGTGGCCTTTTGGCAGTGGACACACTTTTTGATTGGGGCGCTGCACCAGATCCAGGTCCGAACGGACCGCAATAACCTGGAATACTGGCGGACAGCGCGTGTGCTCAACCAGAGACAGGTCCGGTGGCCGCAGACATTCTCACAGTATCACTTTGAGATACAATACGTACCTGGGGGGGAGGGGAATGTGAGGGCGGACGCACTTTCCAGAAAACCGGAGTATATGGAAGGCGAAGTACCTCCTGTGGCCAGCCCATGTTCCCAGAAGACTGATGGTCGTGTGGGGGAGCACTAGCAGGAGAGCAAGAACTGGTTGGGCTCACCAGACACGATGAGTTTGCTCCGACTAAATTAGGGAGCTCAGAGATGGAAAGGGGGGAAATGGGGGGTTTGAGGAAAAAGGAGGGCTCTTGTACTACAAAGGGGCACTGTATGCACCGGGAGAGGCATTGAGGGCCAAAATACTTAGGCAGCTCCATGACAACCCCACAGCCGGGCATTTTGACCAACTCCCTTCTCTTGCGGGGGCCCAAATAGTACCATTGCCTTCCGTTAAGACTTTGGGTGTAATCCTTGACGCCTCCCTTTCCATGGAGGCACAAGTTACAGCAACAGCCAAGGCGACATTTTTCCACCTTCACCGCATCAAACAGTTGGTCCCTTACCTTTCCCACCCTGACCTGGCCACAGTGATCCATGCGACGGTCATCTCCAGGCTTGACTACTGTAATTCGCTCTACGCGGGGCTGCCTTTGAAGCTGTCCCAGAAACTCCAGCGGGTACAGAATGCTGCAGCGAGGCTCCTCACGGGGTCTCTGCCATGGGAGCATATTCACCCAGTGCTTTTCAAGCTGCACTGGCTCCCGGTGGAGTACAGGGTCAGATTTAAGGTGCTGCTTTGACCTTTAAAGCCCTTCACAGCCTAGGACCCTCGTAACTACGGGATCGCCTCTCCTGGTATGCCCCACGGAGAACCTCAAGGTGCATAAATAGCAACACCCTAGTGGTCCCGGGCCCTAAGGAAGTTAGATTAGCTTCAATTAGAGCCAGGGCCTTTTCAACTCTGACTCCGGCCTGGTAGAACGCTCTGCCTCATGAGACCAGGGCCCTGCAGGATCTGATTTCTTTCCGCAGGGCCTGTAAGACAGAGTTGTTCCACCTGGCTTTTGGCTAGGAGCCAATTTGATTCCCTCCCTCCCTCTATTTCTTTTTTCTTTTCCTTCTCTTCCTGCGATGAGGCTACATTTTAATATTTTAAATATGTTTCAATATTTTAATGTTGTATTTTAATTTTGTTTTTAAGTTGTAATCATTCAACTTGTTTTTATTATTGCTTGTAAGCCGCTCTGAGCCTGGCCTTGGCTGGGGAGGGTGGGGTATAAATAAAAATTATTATTATTATTATTATTATTATTATCCATGCTACTAGTCACCAGACAGTTTTGGTGGCCCAAGGTGGCCCATTTTTGGAGGTTTACATCAATACAAATGACAGAATCGATAAAATATGTGAACCAATAGGCTTTCCTTTGATATATTTTTTAAGCAGAGGAATCTTCGAAAGTTGATCAAATCATAGATCTTATTCTAATTGCCTCTATTGAGTTTTTTGTAGTGTTTGCTGTCATCTTGGTTTCCAGACCCAATCAGCCCAATCTCCTTCCTCTGCACAAATTCCAGCTTATCAATTATCCTAATTAAATTGTAGTGCCCAGAACTGGACACAGTTCTCCTGGTCAAGGCAAAATGGAGTGGAACTATTACTTCTCTTGATCCGGACACTATAATTCTGTTGATTCAGCCTAGAACAGCTTTAGCAGTGCAGATCTCCAGCCAACTAATGTGTGCTACAAAGAAAATGTAAGAGGAAATGTTCATAAAATGCATATATTAGTGAATATAATATAGAAATGCAATATAATAGAGCAAATTGCTTGTAATCCATATGAAGTAAACATGTTTCTTAGGGAAATTTCACATTAAACTGCTGGTGAATTTTCATGAGTATTCCCTACTGCCCCCAAGAACCACATATTTCTACAGAATTGTGGAGAACTGAACAGAAGATTGGAAAAATCAGAAACTATCAGAAGCTGATGTTGGCAGATTCTCCCCTCTTTATGAATGACTCACAAATTCAAGAGATTTCCTCTCATAAGTTTTTGACAAAGTCTACGATGCTGTCCGTTAATTCAACTGCAGTGGGGAATGCAAAGATGCATCCTTTGAAGAAGTTTATCATCCCATGAAACCCGTTCTCAACATGGAACCAGCTGACTTTCACCCCATTGTCCTCCAGACGTTTCTTGTACAGCAGTGCGTCATCTCGTACTACATCGTACTCGCAGCTCACAATTAGGGTTTCAGGAAGCTTCTGGATGACAGTGTCCTCAGCAAAAAGGCAAGAAAAATCGGCTTCTAATGTCTCTGACAATTGCCTATAGGCTTCAGGTTCATAAGGAGCAAGTGGGACTTGTTTGTAGCCTCTCCCCTTAAATCTCTCTGGAAGGTTGTCTGGACTCAACCACTTCCCATATTTCAGCCTCATTGAATCTGGCACATGAGAGCCCTTCAGGACCTGGCCTAACAAAGAAGGGTCCTTTCCAGTATACTTCAATCCAAAGTAAGCAACGTTTTCCCGGAACAGGATGGGCATTGAACTGTTCTGCTGATAGGAAGGCAGGTTGAGGTCCATAGCCTGTGTATAAGGATAGATGATCACTTGAGCCCGTAGCTTTGGAAGGTCTGATATCTCCACCAATTTCTGGGCAACAATACAAGCATAATTGCCCCCCGCACTGTCCCCACCAACAATGATCTTGGAAGGATCCACCCCATGGGAAGCTGCATTTTGAATTAAGTGTATGGTAGCAGCAAGGCAGTCCTTGTACTGAGCGGGAGGAAGATGCTGAGGAGACAGGCGGTAGCTGTAGAATAAAACAGAATCAAAGCGGTAAACTTCCAGAATCTTTTCCAAACACATTCATGATCACCTAGAATTACAAGAAGAGCCTGCTGGATCAATTGTAGAAGATACAATGCAGGTGACAGCCAGCTGGCTTATGCCCTTAAAAAACTGACTTTACCAGCTAGCAAAAGAGTGTAGGGAACGCTGGGGAAGCAGAACCCTGCAGGATTGGATCCAGCTGGTGGAAGACCATTTGCCACTTGCAACTTTCCATCCTCCTCCTGTTTAGATGCAGGGGGCGTTTCCCAGTCTCTTCCTGCTTATACATTTAAAAGCCCTAACTGAACATTAGCCCCAATCCCAGATTGATTTCAGGCTGGATCTGGGTTGGGTGGTCTCCAAGTTGAGGCTGATCTGGAGGCCCTGGTTAGGGGTGCTGTGCAAGGCCTTATGCCCAGTTCATAGTCCCCCCACAAAAGCGAGCGTGTTCATGTCTTAAGCACATGAAGCTCTGATTTTCAATCACAGAACAGAATGTTGACAGCTTTCGTGGGGAGCCTCTTTCTCCTGCAGGGAATATGGCCAGGGATGCCAGCCTGAAATACAGCAGCATGCTGGGCCCCTACAATCTTTCCCTACGAAAGGCCATGGGGTTGTGTTTACTCACCCAACAGACACAACCACTGAATCAGTCTCCTTGGCAATCTTGCTGCAGACATCTTCGTAGAATGCTAGCAAGTTGGGAGGGAAATTCAAAATTGGGAAACAATTATGTGGAAGATATAGCTAAAGAAAGGAAGCTGTTTCACAACCCAGGGGTGATGCATTCACAGAAGTCCCACTTAAATGCATGGACATAAGTCACAGCAGAACCCGAAGGATGACACCTTTGGCTTCCATTGCTCTACATCAGGGGTCAGCAACCTTTTTCAGCCGTGGGCCGGTCCACCGTCCCTCAGACCATGTGGTGGGCCAGACTATATGGGAGGGGGGATGAACGAACTCCTATGCCCCACAAATAACCCAGAGATGCATATTAAATAAAAGGACACATTCTACTCATGTAAAAACACGCTGATTCCCAGACCATCAACGGGCCGGATTGAGAAGGTGATTGGGCCACATCCAGCTCACAGGCCTTAGGTTGGCTACCCCTGCTCTACATGTTGTGAGACTGCAACTCCCAGGAGTCACAGGCAGGAATGAATGAATCCTTTCTCATTTTTCCACACTTACCTTCCATTCTGTACCTGCCCAGGGTTTCCAGCAACTGCTATGCAGAAACACTGCTGCCTCCAATCTTGCCTTAAAAAGCACATTTTTGCAAAGAAATCTTCCCTTACATTAGATATTGGTACATGCAATATTCACTGACATAAGCCTTTTTATGCATCGTGAACATCCCATTGCTACAGTGCTGCGTTGTAAGTGTCAGAGACTGACTTTGGGTTCACAAATTGCTTCACAAGATGCAAAATAAATAGGTTCCCATATAAAAACAAAATGAATCGAATTACAACCTCTCCCTCCCAAAAAATATCTCCACCTGGCAGAGTAATAAAGGCAGGCAGTTTGCTGCTTCAGAATGTGGGGGGAGATGCCCTGGAAGAGGTTACTAGAGTAGAGCTCTCAGAGAAATCTTCACTGGACAGCAAGGGGGGAGGATGCCCAAATTATCCTCACAGTAGGATGGAGGAGAATGTGAAATTGCTAAGTAAGGGGGAAAGGGGAAGGACCGGATCTTGTCTCCCTTTGTGGTGTCTGAGAAACGGAAACTCAGACTGAGCACGTCGTATCGGAGAATGACAGGCGTTTGCCACATCCTGTGATTTTGAACTGTAAATAAACGTACATAAATCTTCCAGAGGCTCATTAATTCTTACCGGAGCTGTTTGTCTGCCTGAGATCATTGCACACAGATCCATGAGTTGCAAGCTTTCATTTACTTAACATGTTATCGTTTGTGTTCATATTTGCAAACCTATTGCAATTTTCAGAGATGGGAAAAACAGGAAAAACAAACTTGTTATAAGAAACTCCCAAATTCCACCTTAGAAGAAATCTGTCTAGCCGTTGAAGTGAGGGAGCATGGGAGTTGTATTCCAGGAAGCAAGATCTTGGAGGGGCACAGGTGCCCCTATTCCCCCAAATATGAATGTCTGTAGCAATAGCAATAGCAAGCTGTCACCAGTCTCCTGACTCCCAATTTCTTCATGTGTAACTTGATCCTAGCCTTCCTTCCTCCCACAGTTCCTGCTTCATAGGCTGTTGCAATGGAAGGCTACTGAATGGGACTTGTTAACTGCCAACCTGTTACATTGCAATTGGTCTTGCGAGATGAAACCTGGTGCAAGTCCAGTTCTCTCAACCACTCATATTGTCCCTAAGAGATGGGAAAGAGCCATTCTGGATTAGGCCAAAGACCCAGCCAGCCCAGCCTTGTGTTCTCCCCAAGGCCAACCAGATGTCAGCAGGAAGCCCACAAAGAGAGCCTGGCTGCAACAGCACTCTGCTCACCTGCATGGGGAAATTTCGGGTGTGATGGCAGGCGATTTGGGGAACTCTGATAAGAAGTTTGTTGCTTTGTGTTTCTGAAAGTGGCACTGCTATTTGCCAACTTGTAAAATTGTGATTGGTTTTCTGAGATGGAAACCTGGCAGAGGCCCAGTTTCGGGTTACGGGTTTCGGAAAGTTGACCTATGTATTAATTATCACTGTGTATAAATTAACACATGTGGGTGTGGTGGGTGGGTGTGGGATTTGGTCAGGTGTAAATGAGGGGGTGGCCAGGGGTGGGAGGGTGGCTGGGTTGGTAAGCAGAGCAATCAGGAACAGCAACCTATTAGATACATATTTGTGAACCTATTTGAGGTTCTATGAAATCAAGTGTTATATGAATTTTATGAAAGGAATGAGTCAGTATCAGCAGTGGGGGGCATCTGTCCCTCCCCCAAGGGCTGCTTGCTGGAGTGCAGCTCCCCGGTTCCCTGAGCATTGACCACTAGAGAGGTGGGATCTGCGAAGCCATGAGAACAAGAGGGTCCATGTGTATAAATTAACATATGCAAATCCAAAGCACACGTGTGCCCCTTGTCTCTTCAGGAACTACCACCAACACTCTTGTATTTCAGCCCTGTAAACCTCTCTTCCAATGATATCTGAAGCACTTCTACCCAGAAAGGAGATTCCAATTAAACATGGTAAGAGTTGTTTGACAGGGAACCGCCTCGCTTGGGAGGTGGCGGGCTCTCTTTGACTGCAGGTTTGACAATAGAGGTTTCACAACATTTCTAGGATTCTACATTGGCTTATTTGAGTTCAGTGGGGCTTGCCTCTAGGTAAGTGTTCATAGGCTCACAGCTTTAATCTCTTACCGATGCTCCCAACCATCCCAGCACCTCCATGGAAGAACACAAATCCTTTCCTTGGGCCAGCAGATGGTGTTTTGGGCTGATAAACCCTCACAGGCACCCCATCGAAATGCAGATCTTTGGAAGAGAGGCTGGGATCCGCTCTTGGATTCCAGAAACTCTGGAGGAAGCGGATAACGGCAACCTGTCTGCAGACACCCAGCAGCTCAAGACACTTCCCCTGTTGGGCAAAGGAAAAGTCTCATGAAAATAGTGCCCACATTTGCAACCTATTCACAGTGGGTGGTATCCAAATAAGTCCTATTTAAAGTAGACCAATTGAAATGAATGAGCACATGTTAGCCAAGTCCATTAATTTCAATTGGTCAGCTTAGAATTGGTCACCCCAACCTAAACACCCGCCAAAGTACAGAGGCAAAAGAAGCTGGGAAACAAGCTAAGCTTTGGAGAAACAATCCACAATCTCCTTGCTTGCCTATGAGGCAATATGTGCTTTCCTGAAGAAACCATGACGTAAAGAAAATAGGGCTTTTTCTCTCTATGTGTGTCCTTCTATAGGCTGAAAGGAAGCCCTTGTTGAAAGTGATAATATCTTCATCACATCGTCAAGTGAATTCATTGATTTTACTGATTTCATTATGCATGTTGGATTCAGCAGTATATGAATTACTTAAATATATAAACTGTTATTTATTATTTTTAATTAAATAAATATACTGCCCTTCTTGAAAGGATCTCATGGTGGTTCACAGCAAAAAAATGCAAGATAAAAACCCAAAATACACAATGAAAGAACAAAGCAAACCAATAACACCTTTAAAAGATATAGAATTGGTTTTGCCTGGTGCCTACAGATAAGTATTATTAACTTTAATAATAATAATACATTTCTTAATCACCTTTCCCATAAGAACATAACAAGGACCTGCTGGCTCAACTAACGGCTCATCCAGTCCCCAACTTACCGCAGTGAATGCCATTATGGCAAGACAGTGAAGACCTCGAAGCTTTAATGGACTGTCAAATCCAGGTGGAATTTCACTCCTGTAAAGATCATAGTAAATCGCCCAGGAGAGGAGAGACAGGGAAGGAATCCCTATAACTCCAATCAACGCCAGCAGCAGGCTCTGAAGAAGCTCCATTTCTCCGTTCCAAAGAGTGAGATGCAAACACTGAGCCTAAACTGTCAGCATTTGCTGCTGTTTAACTCCACCAGTGGTATTTATACACAGCCGGTTGTAGGTTGGTTGATGAACTGTTTCACAATTAGAACACAGACTTCCATGTAGATGTGATATCCATCAGAACACCAAGAACAATTTTATGGGTCAGGGTGGCACAATTAGTGGTGCCCTATTCAGGAATTTCAAGTCCAGCCACCGAACCATCCAGCTCCATGTAAGGCTCTTCAGTTTTACATACCCCAGGTGTTTGTTGACTGAAGTTCAAAACATCACCACACAGCTTAACCCAATAGTCAGGAATGGTGGGAGCTGTGTGCACTTCCTGGCCCAAGATTTCCAAGGCTTCTGACATGAGTCCTATTCCTACCTAAGCCCCTGGATATTCAAGTCATGGGCTCTGCTCCTCATAGATAAATGCAACTTCATGTTGACATGAAGTATATCTGTGCATGGACGCAGCCAGGTTTCATGTTGGGGTGACAGGACACCCACCTGCCATCGTCCTTTGTCTGGCTCTGTCTAGCAGATTCCAAATGATATGTCTCAACAACAGTTTCTTTTGGCTTCCTGTTTCTGGCGATGGGAAATGGCTGACTCCCACAAGAACGGACCCCAGCTGTGCCAATAATTCAGGGCTGATACGGGGGTAATTAGCCCTGCAGCCTCCCCAGTTTTACCGCCACCATTTGAAGGAGTGCAGGATCAACTCTCCGGAGAGGTCCTGAGCTTTGAGAGGCAAAAAGAGGTTACGCTAGGGCAACAGTGAACCTCATAACCCGAGGAGTTAAATTCTCGGGGCTGGGGGGCTGGCTGTGTTCAGAGGCGTCTCTCCTGTGTGCACACCGGACCTGTCAGGGTTCAGCAAGGACGCAGGATTGAAGATACAAATGCTAGGATCCATTCTGACCTGCAAAGCGATGCCACAGGCTCCGAAAGGTGAAGCGGTAAAGCATTCCGAGGCTGAAGATTAAACCCTCGCATCCCAAAACAAAAGAAAAAGCAGAACAGAAGCAAAAAAAATAAGGAGGTGCAAGGGAGAGTAATAACAATTTGGGTGCTAAGGAAATCCTTCCTGACGCTGGTGGAGAAAATGACGCAAGGGAAAAAATCGGTATGCGTGAGTCAGCGTTTTAAAAAGAACGTCTGCTGAGTAACAAGAAGGAAAAGAGTCTCAGCTCCTAGAAGGGCTAAAGAGACAAAATAAAGCTAAACAAATAAATTTAATTGGGAGATATAGGACAGTGTTTCAAATACCCGTGAAACTCAGTACATTTGTGAGGAACTCAGTGACATGCAGCGTAAATTAATAATGTAGAGTTTTAAAGAATAAAAGCTTTACTGAATTAAAATAAACTTCTTCATAAACAACATGGTTCCAAACAGTTTGACTAAGATTCTATACAGACTCTGTTCATAGCTGACGCAGACAGACTCTCACATCTTACAGAGAGCACAAAAGAGAATCTGGCTACTAAGTCACATGTCGGAGTGACTCAACAGTTAGCAGTTAGGCCTGAATAACTTTAGTAGGCCCAAATGATTGTGCAGTCCCAGCACTTCCCAGCCTGCTTTGCTGCTTCTGCTCTCATGTGTCTTTGTCACATGACACTCAGAACTTTGTATGTACCGTGAAGGCGCTTTTGGGAATACCAGGTTGGAAACACCATTGAATGTACAGACCCATTGTAATACTGTAACAACATTGTAACAACACGGCTACTGGACGTTACTGGAGGTTTTGGATTGTAGAGAGCTCAGAGACATTGTTTGCACTTTACTTCTCAATGTTTACAAGTATGGGACTTGAGCGATTTGAAACATTTTGCAACCTTCCCTACGTGGCAACAGAGGAGGAATTAGAACTGCTACTTCTTCTCTCCTATTGTTTGCGACTATGTGATGCTGTGTAGAACGACGGAGCTGATTGTTGTGATAGGAATTTTATGGTCTTAGATATATGGTAATGTTCATAAGTGTACCAACCAAGCACACACATAGATCAGCACAGGAAGGCCAACCTGGAACCATTTTGATTCCTAAACTGAGCAAATGTTTTCTCTGCAAGGTCAAACTCCCCATTGTCTTTTCCTTCACAAATCCTGTCTTAAGGGTATGTCTGTGTTTGAATAGGGTGTGAGCCTATGACATGGCCCAGGAACTAAATATTTATCACTACAAAAGAGTGGCCAGGCTCCCCAGGCAATCGAATCAGATAACCTGCCAGACAGGAGATAAACAACAACAGGAGAAAAACAATATTCAAATTTCTGTTTTAGACCGCCTTTTCTGTAATGTAGGTGTGATGTATCTGAGGGGTGGTCTTAGGTTACACCCCTTCTGTGATGTATGTATGATGTTTCTAGGGGTGGTCTTGATCTACAGGGTGGCAATTTCAAAAGTCTTTAAAAGGCCTTGCACACCAATTTTCTGGGTCCCTCCTCTCTCCTGCAGGTGAGGGGAGCACCCTGTTGCAACAGATCAATAAAGGCCAAGCCTGCATGCTGCTGTCTTGCTCAAAGTAATCCTGGTTGGTGTCTTTGTTTTTGTCCAAGGGAGCCCTCAGATTTTTCCGTTAACATTGTGAACTGAATAGGAGGGGGGTTGAGGTCTGGGGAAACACAAGGTGTTGATATAAATGGAATGCATTCTGATAGATATTGACTATATGAGGTGTTTGATTGTATACTTGTTTGAGTTAAGTTGCTTATTAAGAGAGGAAATTTAGACTATCATTGTGTACGACTGTGTGTGATAAAAGAGGAAGTAGGAGAGATAGAGATACCCCGTAGTGAATGAGGGAATAGCAGAGAAAATAAGTGTCTCGGCAAACAGGGTAAAATAAGCCCCCAGTGGAAGTTAGTGGAACTGCATCTTAGGGAAAAAATTATTAATTAAAGAAACATGAGTAAGACAGCAAAAATAACAACACCAGGAGAGAGAAGGACATCAAAAGCTGAGATAGAAGGGGAGGGAGATTTTGCAGAATTATTGGCAGAAATAAGAGAGATCAGGAGAGAAGTTAAGGAAAGAGAAAAAATATTGGGGAAAAGTTATTGGAAGTGGCTTCAGATTTATCAGGACAAATGAAGGAATTGAAAGTAAAAATACAAACAGTAGAGGAACAATTGGAAAAAATGCAAATAGAAATGAGGGAAAATAAAAAAGAAGAAGGGGAAAGAATGAAAGCGCAAATAGAAGAACTTTCAAAAACACAAGAAAATACATTAGACAATCTAGCCTTTCTTGAAATGAACCAAAAAGCACAGAACTTGAAATCTCGCGGACTTCCAGAGAAAAATGGGGAGAATGTGAGAGAAAGACTTATCACAGAAATTGCTAGATTACATGGTGACTAATGTTTTCGGAATAAAAGTCACCTTGGTTCAAGCAAGACAAAAAAAAAAATACCCTGGAGATTTTTTAGCAATCTTTAACTCACCAGAAGTGAGGAAAACTATTCTGAGGAAGAGCCGAGAAAAACAATTGATTATAGATAGGAAAACAATTGTGGTGTTGACAAAATAAAGTTCCAATGGGAGTATTCAGAAGGTGTGTCATTTTATTCTAAAGTCAAAAAATTTAAAATTAAGACAGTACAAGAAATGCAGAAATTTGGGAGAAGATATAAGGAGTTGGGGAAGATGGAGGGAGGGGAACAGGAAAGTGAAGAGGATAAACAAGAACAAGAGGGAGAAGAGGCAGATATTTAAGTGTAAACAATAAAATAAAATTGTATTTAATTAAATCAAAATGACAATTAAAATTATATCATGGAATGTTAATGGCATGAATAATAAAGCCCCAAAAAATTGAATATGAGTTATTTAAAAAAAACATAGACATAATCTGTTTACAAGAAATACACGTAACATGGAAACACAATAGAGTTTTAAAGAATAAAAAATTGGGGAATGAATTCATTTCCTCAGATGTGCAAAAGAAGAGAGGAGTTGTTATATATGTCAAAAATAAATATAGTACACAACAAATATTTAAAGATAATGAAGGAAGAATAGTAGGAATACAAGTACAAATAGAAGGAGAAAAAATAATAATAGTCAGGATATATGCGCCAAAACGAAAAGAAAGCAGACCTTTACAAAAAATTACAGGAAATATGGATTACATAGAGGAAATTACGTAGAGGAAATACATTAGAGGAAATATTGACTACATAGACTATAATACTATATTGTTGGGAGACTTCAATGAGGTAATCTCCACTGAACTGGATAGATCAATAAGAAGAATGAAATCGGACCAGGGGAAATTACCAAATTCTTTTATATCCTTAACAGAGAATAATGAATTAATGCATATAAGGAGACTAAAAAACCCATTAACAAAACAATTCACATATTACTCAGAACCAAATCAAAGGCGGAGCCGGATACACCAAATTTGGATATCAAAAGAACCAACTACAAGAGTGGTGAAAGCTGAAATTTTACTGAAGACGTTATCAGATCATAATGTTACTGCAATGGAACAGAAGACTAAAGACCCAACAGCTAGGAAGTGGAGAATAAATGACGAATTGTTAGACAATACAGAAATATTAGAAAGAATTAAAAAATATCTAAGTACCGTGTTTTTCGCCCCATAGGACGCACCGGCCCATAGGACGCACCTAGTTTTTTGGGGGGGAAATAAAGGGGGGGGAAATTATTTTCCCCCCCCCAGGTGCGGGGATGGGGCGGGGGATGCCCGAGCTTCCCCCGACCCCAGCCCCCAGAACAGGCTGCTATCCGCAAGCCTAGGGAGCCCGGCGGGAAGTCACGCCAGTCTCCCCAGGCTTGCGGATATCTGTCCCCCAAGCTTGTGGAGGCTGGCACTGGGGAGAAGTGCGCTTCTCCCCAGCGCCAGCCTCCAAACCAGGTCGGGGAACAGCGGTATGGCGGCACTCCGCCTCCCCGCTGTCCCCCGAGCTTGTGGGGCTGGCGCTGGGAGAAGCGCGC